TGAATTATTAAAGGCCGCACTGTAATTGTATTTGCAGCGATCCTTTTGTAGGGCACGTGGTTGGGTACGGGCTCTCCAGGAGTGGAGCTCTCTTTTGGAGCAAGTCCCATTTATAAACACTGAGCGCGTGAAGCGGGCCTAAACAGCAGCAAGAGCGAATATTTTATCAAATATTAAATAACATAATTATTGAGAATAGGCTCATCTCGCAGGTGGGAAGAGATCCCCAAGAGAATCGGAATTCGGTTGCTATTTTAAAAAATCAATTAAGCTTGTCGTCTCCTTCGAAACAGCAAGCAAATACAGCAGGCTTTCCTCGTGATGATAATACTATGGCAATAACAATATGAATAGTATAATCGTATTAAATAAAGAACCCTTTCCCCAGCCAACTATACTGAAGATGTTGAAATGAGCCGGGAAGAGAAAACCCACATACATACAGGACAAATGAGACGAATTAGCTTGGAGAGCAATCCCACAAAAGGGAAAAAAAATGTCTTTCAACAAATCTGTTTTGTAAAGGGGAAGAAAGGAAAAAGGAAGAATAGTGTTTGAGATGAAGAGGAGAATACCCCTGGCATAAACCTCTGCTAATTAAACACTCCTTTCTCTTGCTTCCAGGAAGTTAACTTATTGAAAAAAGACCAAATTAGTCTTCATATTACATTGGGGGTGAGGGGAATCAATTCTATTATAGTATTTAGCATTCATTTAGTGATGTTACAATCTAAGTTGAAAACATTTGGAGAACAAGTGTTAAACAGCCATTCCACAAATCAGTTTGAGTCAAAGGAACTTCAGTTTAGACTATCAGGCAAAAGGGGCAGAAACCCCAAAGCCAAAATACAGGAAGGAGGACAAGCAGGAAGGGAGGAAATGGAAATAAAGTCGATGCAAAAGTTGGTGCCTGCTCTTTTCCTTTTCCCATTCTTACTTCACCAAATTCTGAATTTCCTGAGATGGTCAGGTGTCCCTCTTAATTCCATTTGTCTATTCTTCTCCTGTCATTGTGGCTTCTTCAGGGCCACTATTGCAAAGACTTTAAGCCATCTATTTACAATCTAGCCCAGTTACTGGACCATGATTTCAGATTGAATAAACTTCCTCTCTACCACCTCTTTTATAATTGTAAACATAGAAAAGCAAAGCTACTACTGTGTGACAAATCACTGTATACTTTCCTGTAACATTTTTATGCATATACAACACACATATCCCAAAAGGATTGCCTATTAAAGATATTAATAAAGAGCTTAAGTCTTCCATTAAATACTCATCCATTTAATAGAAAGCAAAGCATTCATGTTTTGCATAGTTTCCTACTACATAAAATAGGAAACTCTGCAAATCATTTATTTTCATTTTGTTTTATTAACATAGTATTTTCTCCGTAATTGGTAAGGATTTACTGAATACAAAACAGATTGTTAAGTTTTCAATACATACATTGTTCATTATTGTATAATACAAATGTATTTGCCTGCAACATTTCAGTTTTGGGCAGATTAAAAAAAACAGCCTTTGTAATACTTTTTTTATTTGTTCATTCCTGGCTCTCCAAAAATGAAATCCCATCATACTTTTTCTATAAAATAATATTTTTACAAATGCATTTATTAAAAACTCTGATGACATTTCAAGTCAATAACAACAGAAACAAGTCAATTTCTGATGGAAGAGATCTATTTTAAAAATACCTTTAGTGCTTTTTTAAACATTAACAATTGTTTAAAATCACAGCTTCTTTTTTTTTAATGTATTATTCTTTTCTGAACATCAAGTAAGTGTCTTGGTTCACAGATTTACCGGTGAAATTAAAAAGATTTGGCTAAAATAGGATGTCTCCAGAAGAAATAATCCCAGTTATTAAGAAACTTTTGTACATTTGGCATCTGATCTAGTCACAGGTCATCAGAAAATAGACAGAGGGTCTTGGATCACTTGAAGCAGTAGGTGGCATCCTGTACGTTCCAAATGAACAATTGTGTCTTACAACGTGTCAGGACAGAGCAGTTAATGGTTTTTATATTTGTTAGCCCCCAAATAAAAATAAAGCATTTAGTTACATCATTATTAGAAGTGCAATTAAGCCAAAATAACACATATAAAACCTCAAACCTCCAAAGCATAACACTGACTTCACAGGTGCATATTGCCTTCCAGAACACTAAAGAGAGTGATGCGGTTTGATTGGTAGATTGAATTAAGATTTCTAGAGGCAAAATAAACTTCAAGAAACACAGGCAGCTAATATATAGTTCATTTTATTCAGAGCACCGCTTTTCACATAAGAGCTATCTCAAAGTAATGAATTCTGATTCGGCAGAAAAATACATCTTTTCACAACCCCCCTTTTTTTCCTTCCCCCCTTTCATTTTTTTTTTCTTCCTCTTTTTGGTTGAATTAAGTCTCATTTGTTGAACGGCTCTACCTGGACTTTTATCAGCCCTGCATCAAAACCAAAAATGCAGCCAATAATAATAAAACTGTTCTGTTTTCAATTGTGTTTTATTTGTAAGTGTGCTGGGACACATCTCCCTGTTGTATTTTGGCTTACAGAAATATTTCTGATAGAAATAAAAAGGAATATAGGAAAGACACAACCAAGGAGAAAGCTCAGCAAACATACATGGACAGGTAGATAAATCAGTGAGACATTTCAGGAGCTACATGTGGTTGCAATTTGTATTCTCTTTTTGTGCATTAAAGAAAATATTTACATTAGTCTTCCTTTTTCTTTTCTAAATACAAGAATGTGACAAGAATGTTGTGTTTTCGGTGAAAACAGGCAGTAAAACGGTGAAATCACACCACCCACGAGAAGGTCTACCAGAAGCTAGTCTATTTAGTGCTCAGTTTCAAATGCATAGAATGTTTGCGCTGCAAACAATGATACACAAAATAAATAAATAAATAAATAATAAGTAATCAGAGTGAGACCTAATCACAGCTCTTTCTGTGCCTTTCAGGTCATGCATGATTTCAGTCTTGTTAAATGGCAGATTCTCTCTCATCCCCTCCCCCTTATTTGTTCTGTTTTTAGAAATTCCTTATCCTTGGTAAAGGATGGCTATACACCAATATATCAGGAAATTCAAACAGCGTCTTGTGTCTTTACAGAACCGGCATTTAACTAACCACCTTTAACTCTCTCTGTCTTAATTATTTCATCCGAGTTTCACGATGTACCTTCATTATTACTGTGAAATACTAAACATATTTTTTCTTTTCATTCGGGAGACTGATAGTGCAAATAAAAAAAGTTTTCACTACCCAACGTTTATTACCGACAATAAACGATTTTTTTCCCCAAAGGAAATCCAATTACTGTTTCCCCTCCCCCCCAACAACATGCAGATCCCTCAGAAACAAACCAACCACGTCAAATATTGCCTCTTTCAATTGTTGATTTCGTTGGTTTCATAATAACTAGGTCCTGTCCTAAAGATGGAAATCAGGAACTTTTAACATTGCAATATCCTCTTCAACCTCTCGAGCAAATTGGAAAGGGGACCTACAGGATCGAAGTGCATCTTGTCCCTCGGCCTCAATGTGGGCAGAGCATCTCTCCTGTCATCCTCTACCGCTAACAGTTGCAATCTGTATATTTGAACAGCTAGAAAAAATATATAAATATATAGATATATTTTAAAACAAACCACACCCACAAAAGAAAAAGAGGGGCAACGATGAGGTAACTTTCTCTTAAGAAAACTATTAAAAATGGTTTGTTTCCTATATCTGAATTAAATGTGAGGGCGGAAGGGGGGAAAATTACTTTTTACCCCCAGAATAAAATCTGTGTTCGAGACTCAATGCTCTCTGCCTTTTAGCCTCCACGACATGATGTCAGGGGTCCCATCTCACCAGAACAGCTCTAACCAACCCCTGCCAAGGCCGACCCTTGCCAAATAAGAACCTGACAAGGTTAGGCTGGGCCACCTTAAAACTGTCACCCCCTATAACCATGCAATAGTCCCCAAACCGCCCTCGACCCACCCAAATCCCCACGATACAGAGAACCACCATCACGAAGCCTCATGAAAAGGGAGGGTTTCATTAAATTAAAACCAAAATGGGTGGGGTAGAGGTGAAACTTAGAAAAATAAAATCAAAGCCCAAAATAATTAGTATTAGCACAGATACCAAGTTTCACCTTCTGATTGTTTTTCTTTAAATTTATGATTTCGTTTATTCGTGTGCGTGCGTCTGTTGTGTGTGTGTGTATGTGTTTATGATTTGGGCGGTGGTAGTAGTTGTGGTGGTGGTGGTGCTCTTAACTCTCTTTCTTGGGGGGAGGGGGGAATCAAGCCGCAGAGGACGGATTCCCGGAGTTAGATTTCTAAAGCGTTTGCTTTTGCTTATAGTATTTCTTTATTTCTATAGATTTTTTTTTGTTTTTTGTTTTTTTCGTTTTTTGTTTTTTGGTGGTTGGTTGGTTTTTGTACATTGTTCCTTGGTCCCCAGGATATTTTTATAAGTGTCTCTGGTCAAGAACAACTCAATTTCCCCTCCCTTCCCATACAGTCCTCCCAACCTAGCCTCCCTCCAAAAGCCCCCAGACCAGTTCCTCACAACTCCTCTTTCCTCTGTTCTCTCTCTCCACCCCTGCTTCCCACTCAATAAAGCCTCTCCTCCCTCCCTCGCTCCCTCCTTCACAGCTACTTCCCTACCACCTCTCCACACCCAGCATTCTCTTTCCTCCGGGCGGAGGGCGAGGGAAGGGGGTGGAGGGGGGGGAGGAGGGAAAAAAGAGGGGGGAGGAAGGAGGGGACTGGGAAATTGGGTGGAGAGGAGCGCAGAGGAGGAGAGAGTGGGGAAAGAGGAGGGGGATTGGGAGGGAAAAGTAAAAAATTTAAAAAAGAGAGAGGATAACGAAAATCAGACCGTGGGGAAAGAAGGAAGGGGGGGAAGCCCCCCCAACACAAAACACGCCCGAGCCTCAGCCACCCTCCCCATGCCCCCCCCTCCCCAGGTGTCCCCCTCTTTCCCCAGCCCCAAATTCAGTAGGTGGCGGAGAATTTCATCCTTTTCTGCTTCTGTCTCTGGTTGCAAAACCAAACCCGCACCACATTCTTTTTGAGGTCCAGTTTCTCGGCGATGGCGGCGATCTTCTCGGAGGAGGGCCGGGGCTGCACGGCGAAGTAGGCCTCGAGGGAGCGCTTCTCCGGGGCGGCGATGGAAGTCCGCTTGCGCTTCTTCTCGCCTCCGTTGAAGAGCTCGGGCTTGTTCATTTTCTCGCGCTGCGCGCCCTCGGCCTCCTCCAGCCACGCCTGCAGGATGGGCTTCAGTGCGATCATGTTGTTGTGAGACAGCGTGAGCGACTCGAAGCGGCAGATGGTGCTCTGGCTCAGCGAGCCCACCCCGGGGATCTTGAGGTTGGCCAGGGCCGAGCCCACGTCGGCCTGCGTCACCCCGAGCTTGATCCGCCGCTGCTTGAAGCGCTCGGCGAAGGCCTCCAGCTCCCGGGGGGTCTGTGTCCGAGTCGCAGATGGAGGCCAGCCCCGCTGCTCCAACCACCGCGGCCGCCGCGGACGCCGCGGCCACCTGGCCCGCAGCCGCCGCCGCAGCCGCCGCCGCCGCCCCGTGGTGCGCCGCCGCCGCCACCAGCCCCGGGTGCGGCAGCCCCGAGGGCATGTTCATGGCGGCCGCCGCCGGGTGCGACAGGTGGCCCAGGCCGTGCATGTGCGAGTGCGGGTGGGCCGAGCCGCCCAAGAGGCCGCCGCCGCCGCCCGGCCCGCCGCCCCCGGCCCCGCCGCCGCCCGGCCCGCCGCCGCCGCCCCCGCCGCCGCCGCCGCCGCCGCCCGCTCCGGCCCCTTCGTGCCCTCCGCCGCCGCCGCCCCCGCCGCCGGCCCCGCCGCCGGCCATGAGCGCCAGGGATGGGGAGGAGATGTGGTCCAGCAGGTCGCCGGGTTCGAGCGCCTGGTGGTGGTGGTGGTGGTGGTGATGATGGTGCGCCAGCGGCACGGTGGAGGTGGAGGTGCACGGCACGCTGTTCATGGTGTGGTAGGTGGCATCGGGCTTGAAGGGGTGGCTCTTGCCCTGGGACACGGCGATGTCTACGGCTGCCAGAGCCTCGGCCCGGGCCAGGAGGGTCTCGTCCAGGCTGGCGAAGATATTGCTCTGCAGCTGCAATCAACATAAACGAAACCAAACAAAAAACAAAACAAAACCAAAAAAAAAAGGCAAAACAAAAAGCAACCAAATAATAATAGAGGGCAGAGGGTAGGCCAAGGGGAAGGAATGAAAGCAAGAAGGGGGTTAAAATAAGAGCGATGGGAAGAACAGGGGCAAATTAAAAGAGAGGAGAGCAAAGGGAGAGGGGATGAAGGGAGAAGAGGCAAAGACAGAGGAGAACAAGTCAGAGAAGGGGCAAAATGAAAACATTGAGAAGAAAGGGGGGAAAGGAGAAGGAGGAAAGGTTGGGGAGAGGAGAAGGGGAGAAAAGAGGAAGAAATGGATATGTAACTCTCAGCTGGGGAATTGTGTCAAACACAAGAGCACATAAAGAAAATTCCTTTCAGAGGCCGAGTCATAAAAATTAATACAGAAAGTGGATGAAGTCGGAGACTCGTGTGAACACCACTTTCAAAAAAGATCACAGGCGCTCAGATGATTGCAGAGGAAGACATGAAAAAAACATTAAGCGCCGCTTGTCAAAATGTGCCTCGCAGCGGTTTTTTTATTAATGCACACACATACATACATGCAGTATACAGGAAAGAGAGAGGGAGTGGAAGAAGGAGAGAAAGAGAAAGCGAGGGAAAGGCGTTGTAGCGGCTGGAAGTGGGGGTGGGGGTTTCCCTTACCGGTGGAGTTGGTAGACAGGCTCTTCGTATTGCTTCGGAGCTGGAATGTAGAGAGGGGTATTTGTGTTCAGGTAGGGTGGGATGCATGGCAAAATGTGGCTGTTTGCTGTTCATGGACATCATCTTGAAGGCTTTGCATGTAAATCCAAAAACACTCCCAAAGTAAGGGGGAAAGTGCTGTTGATACTCTCCTCTTGTTCGGGATGGTGATGAAGAAGCAGAACCAGCTTCTGTAGTGGTGGAGGTGGATGCTGCTACTGCTACTGCTGCTGCTGCTGCTGCTGCTGCTGCTGCTGCTGCTGTTGCTGTTGCTGCTACTGATGCTGCTGCTACTGCTGTTGCTGCTGCTGCTGTTGTTGCTGAAGCTGCTGCTGTTGTTGCTGAAGCTGCTGCTGCTGCTGAAGCTTGGAGCTCCCTAGGACCGCACAGTGTGCCTCCCTCCAGCCTCTTGGTCTCACTTCTCTGTCTGCTCTATCCTAGTGCTGGGATGAGATGCGCTCCTCTTACACCTGAGCCCCCACATCTCGTTGCTAGAGCCCGGCAATCTCTCGCGAGAGCTTGTTGCTCCACCGCTTTGATAGACATCGGCTGTCTCTCGCCCTCTCACTCACTCCCTCTCCCTCCCTCTCCCTGTGCCTTGTTGCATCTTCTTGCGCACTTGCACGTCTAGCGAGTGCCGGAGCGTGGGAGCTGCTCTTATAATGACCACCAGGAAGGACAGTGCAGGTGTTACACCTGTGGCTGCAAGGCATGCGCACTAAACATATCACCTTTTTCCACAGCTGCCCTATAAAGATCAAACCTGTAGGTTCAGAAAGGAAACATTATCTTCTTTGTATGTACCATTTATATTCTTAAAAAAAGAAAGAAAGAAAGAAAGAAAGAACGGAAGAAAGAAGAAAGAAAGAAAGAAAGAAAGAAAGAAAGGGGGGAGATGCACGTGCACACCTCTGGATATGTTCGAATTTTTATATATCTTCAATATATATTTTAGATATCTAAACACACGTATACCCATTAGTTAACGGTACACATCTATGCCTGAGTGTCTAACGAGATGTTATACAATGCATACAGCTGGGCATTTGTATGCTAAATTATGCCCGCACATTCCTTTGTATACAGTATAAATAACAACACATAAATGCAGAAGGTGATGTCTTTTCGGTGAGAACCTGTTACTTTTAAGAATTATAAATGGGCTCCTTGAGAATAATCATAGTGACAGACATTTGTTTGAAGCAGTCAGACGCTATTGATTTCCATATAATTTAATTTCCTCCACATACTTTTGTTGCGATTATTATTGTATCAGGCACTGCCAGTGACAGCCACTTAGGAGCCACAAGCAAGGAGCTTGTGCTTTCTACTTGGGAAAGACTGTTGAAGTGAAATTGGGCGTTTTCTTTATTGTTTGTCTCCTTCAACCGTGTACAAACCCACATTTCAAACGGGCTGTAGGTGATCTGAAGCGTAGAGTAATCAAAAGGGAAAATACTTAACAGTATGTAGTTGGGATTCCTCCCTAACCCGCCCCCCCCCCCCGCTCAAAACACACATACATACCACCTTCTTGTAGTGGGAAATCCAAGAAAACAGTGCAGAGTAAAGGAATAAGCAGTTGGAAATGTAACTTTTAAATCAAGTTAGTTACTTCTGTACCTTTTCCTGTCTGCTTGCTTACTTTTTTCTTCAACAGAAAATTGGAACAAACCTACTTACAAAAAAAACCACTAATCAAAATATTAATTTAAAACAAATTAGAAAAACACCTGGCACTGGCCCAATTTTTAATTATTTGTATTGATGATAGTGATAACAATAAATTAAGACCAAAGACAGCCAAAAACACCTTTCTAATTATCCAACCTGTTCTTTGGCCCAGGTCAGATGAATCCCTGGGGAAACAACAGTTAGGTGAATAGAATCCCAAGGGATGCTAATGCTTACCCTGGGTGATAATAACAATTTAGATATTATCACATCTGTGACAGAAGTGTTAAAAGGAAAGGGCAAGTGACTGGTTGTGAGAAGCAGTGATCAGATAATAAATCTGTTGTTATTTCAAAAAGACTAGCTGGATCTCTTATGTTCTAAATCTAGATGAATCCATATATATGTATATGTGCATTTCTACAAAACCAAATATCTATTCATAGGCTTTTGTCCCCTTTGCATTATGCCCCATGCACACTTGTATCATTAATATTGCTCATTCATATGCTAAAAATTTTAAAGTCCACTTCATCATGCTTTTTTCTCCGTTTCCCCTTCCAGCCTAAGAGGGAATTGAGAAGCATGTTCAATTACTTGGGCAAGAAGGAGCTGTGTTTTCATCCATTATGGTGCCCCCTGGGATCACTGAATGCAACTTTATCTCGATAGGGAATGGAATAGAAACAGAACATTTCTGGCTGAGGAGAGCAAGTTCCATGGTCGTCATTATGAGAGTGTACAAGATCAACCAAATCTTAATTGAAATCCACTCTCATTTCATCTGAACTATACCAACTGACAAAAAGAAGAGTTGTTACAATGAAGGAACCTGGGATTTGGGAGTCTGGAATTTGGGGACACTGACTCCTCTTCAATCTGATGTAGACTACGCTTACACTTCAGGTGTCATTTCAAGCTTGAGAAAGGGAAGAGGGGCTGGATGACTGAGATCAAAACAATATAGCCTTCTGTGGAGAAAGCAAAGACTTGGGGCTCCAACCAACATCTATGGTCAACCACAACACAGGCAGGAAGGTTTTGTCTATGAATCACCATATACTCATGAGAAACATTTTTGAGAGAAGAGTGGCAACAGGATGAGAAGATTGTGGCTTTGTTTCCCATTTGTCCCATCTCCTTTCCTTCTTTCTCCCATTTCACTTCTGTTTGGTTAACCAGAAAATCCCATAAACTCCAGGCAGGAGGGGTGAACAAGGAATGGGGTGGTAGGGATTCTCTTCAAATCAGGAGTCAAGCTTTTAAATGGAAATGTTAATTATTATTAATATTAATGTTTGTTGTGACTGATAGGCTCTGTGTGTTTGTCACTTGTCTGTACGAGAGTGTAAGACCTTCAAGTTACAAGAACCTTTGCTTATACTTCTTTTTATTCATCTATAGCACTTAATACAGTGTTGAGTAAGTGAGCAGGCACTCAATAAATATTTGCTGGTTAGTTGATAGGAGAAGGAGCAGAGGGGAAGGTACTGGAATTCAGATAAGATTTTTCCTTCTTTCCCTAAGTATGTGGATTGCTGTCCTCTAATTTGGAAGCTGGGCTCAGGGTGAGTGTATATCTTTAACGGAAACTAGACTTACCCACCTGCTAAGTTATAATCCAAAAATCTGCTTTTTCTGTGTCAGTCTTTTCATTTCCCCCTGCCTCACCTTTCTCAGGTTTTTCCTGTTGTGTGGAGAAGTGGGACATGTATATGTGGGGGTGGGGAAAGTGAGGGAAAGAAAAGGGCAGTAGCCCTGAGCATGACTTAGTAATATTTTGCTGCTTTGTTTCCACTGGTTTGGCAATCATGGGCAAGCTACAATTGATGCACTGCTTCAGATAGCCCTTGCTCGTGCTAATTATGCTAGCATGGAGTCTCAGACTGGGCACAGATTCCAGCCCTCTCCGCCACCCCTTTTAATGAACATCCCCTTTAAATGAATACCACCAAAATAACCCACAATCACATGGCCTCGTATCTTATCAATAGGAGGATAAGAAGAACACCAGCTATTGATTTCTAAGGAATTTCCGCCTCTAGGGGCAGGGAGTCTATCAGCTGGATCGGAGACACATTTCTTCCCCTCATTAATTAATTTTCTCCTCCTCTTGTGGCAGGCCAAATGCCATATTTCCTCTGGCAGCCTTTTTTTTTTTTCCATTCTCAGAGGGGTAAAAATCCTAGTCAGTTTGGGTGAGGGTCCAAATTGTCATCCTGTCTGTAGTGCGCTCCCTTCTCTTCCCCCACCCCCAATCTTCTGAGTCATCAGTTGGAGTGACAGCTGCTGTCCTCTTTGCAGTGCTGATTTTTTTTCTCTGTGTTACAAGGACTGGATTACATTCAGTTCTTGGCCAGCTCAGATTAAAAAAAAAAAGTTCTTCCTTCTAGGGTTTCATGAGAGTTTGGAAGTTTCTTACCTGACAAATGTAAGAATATAAATATGGAGTTTGATTTCTGAAAGGGGAAAGATCTAAAATATATGGCCACAAGAATTAGTAACTGGCTTCCTCTCATTTTCTAGTATCAATACAGTATTATATCGGTTAGGGGAGAAGAAATATCTGACAAGGATGTTCCCTCAGCCTTGGAGATTCAGAAGCTGCCTTTCTAGACAGTTTCCCCCTCATTCAAAAAGTTCACAAAACTCAATCAGATAACTTGGTTTCTTCTTTGGTGACAGAAACCACAGTAAAGTCTTTGTGACTAGAACTCTTGCTAATTATGTGGAATCCTGCAAATGCTGCAGAGTTGATTTAGGGTGGTTATCTCAGACCTTTTCCCTTTAGTAGCTTCTCAGGTTTGTCTGAACGTACTAGCCTCTTCAACACACTTTATTTCAAAGCAATCACTTTCTGACACAAAACTGGAGCCTTTAGAAGAGGGAAAAAGTTAAAGGGCCATTTTACATTTGTTTGAAACTCAAGAAATTTATCCTTTCAATCCCAGGCTTAAGCGATTCACACACACACACACACACACACACACACACACACACACAGAGCGAGTGAGCGAGAGAGAGAGAGAGAGAGAGAGAGAGAGAGAGAGAGAGAGAGAGAGAGAATAAGAGAAGAAAGGGAAGGAAGTGGAGGAAATTCTTGTCTTGGTCAACTCCTCTGAGGGAGATTAAATATTGGAACACTCTCTTTCTCTTGGCAAGAGAGGGACAAGCTAAAGGAGAAAACTAGTTCAATATCTCTCTCTCTCTCTCTCTCTCTCTCTCTCTCTCTCTCTCTCTCTCTCTCTCGCTCTCGCTCTCTCTCTTCCACCCTTTTCCCTCCGTCCCGTCTTTCTGTTTGCCTCTGATTGGTTCTCTAGGAAAAGCTTCTACTTTTCTGCTCCCTACTCTCTCAGCTTTCCCTTCCAGACTGATCCAGCCTTTTTATTTCCCCTTGCCCTTCCTCCCACTTTCCAATTCCCTTTATTTCTACTGTCCTTTCAACTCTTCTTCTTCGTAGCTCATCTCCTTTTTCCGAAGCTGGCTCCCAAATTTGCAGCATTCTGGCCGGCTCACAATTCTGGTGGTGCATTTTTAATGCCTCCCCAAAATTCGCTGTTCATCGTATT